TTTTATTTTATAAGCTGAAATATTGTATAGAACAGTTGTATAAATGTTTATGTAACAATTTCGTAGTTATCGTGAAAACAATTTTATAATTTTGCTGTAAGAATATTGTAAAAACTAATGTATATAACTATTTAGTTTCAGAGAACAAAATAGTGATTTCTGCAACTGTAGTACAATAAATTAGCATTCCAGAAACAGCAATATAATATCAATAAAATATAATAGTCTTGTAAACTAAAAATTATAAAGCTACTTTGTTAGTTGGGTTGTTTCACCCTTTATGGAAATTGATATCCAACAGTTTGCAACTTGTGTTATGCAGAACTTTGGCGAAGACATCGCTGCAACAGAAATGGAAGTAATTGAGTTTCAAAATGATTTAGCCTTAAAATCGTTAGTCTCAAGTACCAAATGTATCTGGCCTATTGTAAGCAAAACAAATATTCAGTTCTATGCCGTGTTGCCTTGAAAGTGAAAGCATTATTCAGATCAACCTATTTGTGTGAATCTTCTTTTTCCAATATGAAGTTTATTAAGAACAAATATCGCAATCGACTTACAGATGAACATTTGGATAATTGTATTTCAATGGCTGTATCAAATTATACTGCAAACATTAAAAAAATGATCGAGGAGTCTGAGTGTCAGCCTTCTCATTGAACGTGCTTTTTTATTTTTCAATGTTTATGTTCATGATAGTGCGTTACTTTTTTGTTGTTATTATTAACTATTTTTAAATCTTACGTGACATGCCCTTGTGACTGGATAAAAGTTTGTGTTTATTTTTCAAACACCTTCGTTTGGTAGGTAGGAATGTAGCTATGAACAAGTACGTACTAGTAATATTAGTAATTTTGTTATTAGTTTATTATTAGTACCTATGTATTATGTATTACCAGTTAAATAGTAAAATAAATACACATAATGATAAATTAACTGTGGAATATTTCATTTACGTTACGTTACGTGGCTTCCGTGTGGGTAGCTCGCTGTTTATTCCAAAATTAACAAAGTAGATCAACACATTGAGAGGTTGGCGACCACTGGTTTACATCAAAGAAAAGAATGAACTATTTGCACGATATCACTGTTTCCGCAAAAGAAAATTAAAAAAAAAACTATATGAGAGATGCTTTTATTACTGAGTTGCATTCGAATGATTTCAGGCAGTGTTTACTCGAAAGCCATACTCTTAAATGTGAAGATCTTTGGAGTCTGCTCAAAAATATTCTGAAGCTTATAATCTTACTAGTATGGTATGCTCTGTTCAAGAGAATGAAGACAATATTAACCAAATTAATTCTGAAAATAATATAGCTGCTATAACACCTTCCAATAAATGCTTCTTTTGTGGAAATAGAAGACACTCTAGCAGTATCTGTCCAGCTCGTGATTTATTCTGTAAAACGTGTGGAAAAAACGGCCATTTTAGCAACGTTTGCATGTCAAAGAAACAACACATTACGTCTCAGTCTGTATCAACATCAGTTTCTCTTATATCTCTCCCTTTTCACGTCTTAGCAGCTGCTCCAAACTGCTTACATAAATCCTTAATTAAAATTAAGATAAATAATAAAATTATCTCTGATGCACTTGTGGATACAAGAAACTTTTATCAGTACAAACTTCATCGAATTAGCAAATATTGAGTTACTACCAAGTAAAGGACAAATAAGCAACAGCTTTACTCTCCAAAATTTGTAGACATTGTTTTATTAGTTTGGAATTCTTGGGCCATAAGTATGATCAAATTAGAATATCCATATTGCCACATCTGTGTGCACATATGATTACTGACATGATATACTGTCGCAATATTCCAAAATTGAAGTCAATTTTGGTGGTTCCTCTTATCTTATGTTCATTAGCTCCTGCTAAAGTTTGTTCCCCAACTCTTTTTTCTAAAAAAATGATACAAGAAAGCAACTCACCATGGAGGAGAGCTTCTCGTAACTAAAAATGAAACTAATAAAAAGAGAATGGTTATCGATTGTTCGCAAATAATTAATAGATTTACATACCTAGATGCGTATTCATTGACGAATATAGAGGATATAGTTAACGCCGTTTCACAAAACAAGATGTTTAGCCCTATAGATTTAAAAAGTGATTATCATCGACTACCCTTACGTGAAGACAAAAGAAAATACACAGCATTCGAAGCCGATGGAAAGCTTTATTAGTTTCTTAGAGTTCCATTTGGTGTAACAAACGGAGTGGCTTGTTTTCAGCGAATAATTGACGATATCGTAAAAACTAAAGATCTTTCAGGTACTTATGCTTACTTGGATGATATTACTGTATGTGGCAAAGACCAAGCCAAACATGACGAAAATTTACACAAAATTTTAAGAGCTATGGAAAAATATAAATAAATAATAAACGAACCCAAAAATAAATTTTCAAAGAAATGCATTACAATACTTGGTTACTTAATAGAAAATGGAAATACCAGGCCAGAACCATCAAGACTAGAATCATTAGTGAAATTACCAGTGCCTACGACAGCCAAGAGTTTGCAAAGAATACTTGGGATGTTTTCTTAATATTCAAAGTGGGTACCACGATTTTCCGAAAAAATAAACAGTCTTTTCAATTCTAAATCATTCCCACTTAAAAAAATAGGAATTAATAACTTTGAAAATATTAAGAAAGATATATTTAATGCAGTTATTACATCTACTGATATTTTTGTAGTAGAAACTGACTCCTCAGATCATGCAATAGCTGCTTTCTTAAGTCAATCTAGTAGACCAGTAGCATTTTTCTCCCAAATGCTATCTAAGAGTGAGTTAAGGTACGAAGCGGTAGAAAAAGAAGCACAAGCTTTCGTCGAGTCACTAAAGAAATGAAGGCATTTTTTTATTGGAAGATATTTCAAATTAATTACTAATCAAAAGTCAGTATCTTTTGTGTTTGACACCAGGCATACTAATAAAATTAAAAATGAAAAACTACTAAGATGGCGCCTAGAGTTATCCTGCTATAGTTACGATATTATATATAGGTCAAAAGCTAAGAATACAGTCAGTGACACGTTCTCAAGGATATTTAGCTCGACTATCCTGGAATTACTAGGATGTATGACTGGATAAAATCACGAAATAAAACCACAGTTTACTCAAAACAGAATGAGTCATTTATTTAAAGCTACCTCACCATTTAAGAGAATAAGTATATACTTTAAAGGACCTATACCATCATCTACTCTATTGTATCTTTCAACAATAATGGATGAGTATTTGCTTGCTCCAATATAACTTCTAATACGGTTATTAAATGCCTCGAACAACTGTTTATAATCTTTGAAATGGCCTTGTATATACATTCTGACGAGGTAGTTCTTTTATGTCTTCAGAATTAAAGGAATATTTACAGGCCAGAGGTATAGATACTAGCCAAACTACGCCATATAATCCAGCCGGAAACGATCAATGTGAACGTTATAATGCTATTAATTGGAAGACTATTTTGTTGGCTTTAAAATCTAAAGGAATGAAAAGTGGGAAACAGTTCTATTTCAGTTACTGCATTCTATTCGCTCACTACTATGTACGGCTATTAATTGCACTCCTTACGAAAGAATATTTTTTCACACTCGAAAATCTACTTTTTTAAATGCTTTACCATCATGGTTACTCACTCCTGGTCCGTTAGAAATACAAAATATAATTCTTTAGTCGAGGAGGCTGAATTAATAGAAGCAAATCCGGACTATGCTTCAATAAGGTTCAAAGATGGAAGAGAGACTACCATATCTATAAAACAGCTCCACGCGGAGATAAAAGTCTCTTACTTCATATTTATAGTGAAGATGACGACAAAACTACAAATTCACAACCAACGGATCCTCAAAACATTGTTGTTAATATGTACCTTCTTCCCAACAGTAGCGGAGATCTTAACGAAACTGCAAATTCAAATAATTCTCAGTCCGTTATTGTTGATGTTCCAACTGAATATGAATATACTTAAAAATCGACGAATAACGAAGCCAGTAAATGGATCAAAAATACTGAAATAACTGTAAGACCAGACTATTTGAAATATTACCACTGTTCAACAATAACTATTTAATCATAATTATTATCTTCTTTTTCTTTATTTTGGCATATGCCTGAGTTGCAATTGGCTAGCTCATTTTGTTTCTAGAGTGTACTTTTTACGCCAGGGCGAATGTAGTGAACTAATAAAGTGAATTTGCCTAAAGAGTATTAACACTATGTATATTGTCAATTTGTTTTGTATATCAATTTTCGCTAAATAAAGCCTTACTTTAGAAGGTATTCCTCATTACAATAATCTAGAAACTGACTGTTTAATTTAGCCGACACAGAGTTAATAAATAATATTTCATACAATAGGAATTACAATTCACACAATAGTAGTTATCAATAAATTCAGATGGATGGCTAAGCTGCTGCCTACGGGAACTGCAGATGCACAAATACAGCAGGAAACCGTCTCTATCTGTATAATCACCTAATGTGCACAAGGAGGAATTATATCCCCACTAATGTGGAGCCTTACCGTAGACGAACTATTATGGAGTTTGTCTGACCTTGGCATACTCTGTCCAGTCAAAAGTTGATTATTGGGATTATGGGAACGCTATCTTGAGAATAGAAAGGCTGAGCAAGAATCGGCACGTAATATAACAGAGCACTATATTTAGGAGTATACTAAATAGAAGAGGGCAATGTACCCAATTTAAAGCCACTCCAAATCAAACATTTACTTGAGAAGATATAATTGGAAGCGTCATTACAGGCATCAAAACTATTTCTTTGCTACATTAGCGAAAGAAGGAAGCACAATGGATCTTTTATGATGCAGTGTATTAATCCTCAATACATCAAATAACAATATAGAAATTACTGCTATTAGGTATATTTGTTAAACATATTTTAATAGAAAAATAATAATCGTTAAATAGGAAACAATTTCAATACATGTTTTATTAATTTTTTTTAAAGAATGATGTACAGAATGATGTTCAGTCAAATTCGTCCAGGCTATAATGTCGAATTTTGACAGGAACGGAAGAATGGTGATTAGGAATTTAATCGTGAGGTGCATTCAATGTAACAGCGAACCATACACGGCAAATGTTTTGAGCGATTTCAACATCGACCCGCACAGAAAGTCCAACAAAGCGAACGTATTTTGTAGTGACGAATTGTTCCTGGGACGTAGTTAGGTTTTGATAAAACCTGACTGACCAAAAACGATTCCAGAACTAAATTAACATGGACGTAGAAAATATAAGGTAGATAAAATAATTAATAGTATAATAGGGATAAACTGATTACACAATTTTGATACTTAGCTTGATTGCAACTATAAAATATATAAAATTATAATTGGTACAAAATTAAGAAAAAAAATTATTGGTCTGATTCTGGGGAGAAAGGTCAGGTAATGGGAGGTAATACATATAATAAGTAATTAAAAATGGCAAAATTCTAGAAGTTGGGCAGCTACAAAAGGAAGAAAAAACATGTTAAAAAAGCCGTAGTTAAAAGTAAGTGAGAATCTTTATCCATATGAAAATTTATAGAATGAGTAAGAAAATTAATAATTAGGAGAAAAAATTAATAGGATTCCGCGAGTCTAAAACGAAGAAAATGAGATACTGTCTAAATCTTTTGTTTAATGAAGAGTTTGAGTGGCCACATTTAGTGTGGTAAATCCTATCAGCTAACAAACACAAAAGAAGTATTGAGGAAAATAAAGAGGGATAAAGCGATAGATTGCGGTGCGATTTCAGAAGAGATTTAAAAAGGACAATAAACAGTAACTGGTCCTTTTTTTTGTTAGTTTGCATTGTATTTACCTATATTTCAGCCAATCAGCAATTTGTCTTTATTATAAACTCAAAACGCAAACTTAAGAGGTTTAAAACTAAGAGTTTACCCAATGGTATCTTCTTTTGGTTTTGATGAATTATGCACTGTTGATTTCATTTCTAAAATAATTAAAAGATTATGGTATTTAAAACACATTCTTAGTATAAATAATGTAAGTTTGTTGATTTTAATTTTAATAATTAACTAGTTAAGGCATTTAAAGGACATTCCTAGTATAAAGAATATAACTCTTAATAAGGCATTGCTTTGTTTTGAATAAAACTTTTAATTTGATTTATTTCGTTGCAATTTTCTGTGTTGTTTTACCTTGCTTTTAAAGATCCCGATGGTTTTATGGGTCCGAAACATATAGTATGATATCCTAGAAGTATATTCTATTTAATTTCATGAGTTTGCATTGCTTTCATCTTGTTAATACATTATTTTAAGTATTCTTCGATATAACTATACCTATTTGCTTCGACCAGGCCACAATTTATAGCTAAAGAATCAGTTCGCTCACTCTGCGTCGGCACTTTTGATCTCAATGTTCCAGTTTATACACTGCGCAACTCGGATTTGTATCCCTGGCGCATACAGAATCAAATCATAACCAATACAATATATGACAACCGCCTACTATATTCAAACAGCAGTCTTCTGCGCATCCTAAATTTGTATCCCTGGAGTGGATGTTATTTTGGAACATTCAACTGGTCCAAGTGAGCTAACTGATTCTTTAGCAATAAACTGTGACCAGGCTGTCATTTCTAGTTATCGACGAATTTTGGGTTCTCTTCTTCTTTCTTGAGAAACTGTCATTCTAGTTTGCATGGCTCCGTAGCCAATTCTGTTCCGTGGTACGAATTTGGCTAAATAATACACTGGAAATATTAAGGGAATATTTGGTGTCCTGTTATTTGGCATCAATATTATTGACTGTTCATGACGTCATGTTATGTTAGGGTGCATTTTTGGAAATATTCGGGTTACTATTTAACTTGAACTTAACTTAACTAGAAGATTGTTAAGATCACCGGAAGTGTGATTGTCAAACTGTAACTCATCGGAGTCTCCTTCGCGACGCCATATTGTCTTCTTCAAGGTTACTTAAAAGGGGTCGTAGCCATTAGGTGCGAACACTTTTTGGTAGACTTTTGGGGCGAAGAGCGTGGGTATTGTGAGTACGAAGTGGGTTTTTGTGGCTTTGAGGCGTATAATTTTATCCCAGGTGTACTTGTATGTGCGCAGTTATAATTTTCAATCGTTCGCCGTTCGTACTGCACGTTGTTCCAGACGTGCCTGGGCAATGTCCAGTCATTCTTAGTGTATGGGGGTTCTGAAATTTTCTACCTTTAGATGTTTTCCTTTGATGTCCTGCAGATTATAGAAGTCGTGAGAGTCCAGTTTCCTGTCCAAGGAGTTCGTAGCCAACACCAGTGGTAAAGAGTGTCACCGCTTGATGGAGTTCTACTAGGAATCAGGTATCTAAAAATCTACAAACTAAGGTATAAAAGACCTTCAGTGTAATATCCTTAGTGGTACTAGTAATTTAAGAATATTCCGATTTATCATTTAACTTTTATTTATAAGAATAATTCTGTAACTGTTGTAGTTGTGCTTAGGCTCAATTTGCTGTAAGCCTAAGTGATAACTGGTTAATATTAATTCTTTCTTTTACTCTAATAATTTCGTATTCTGAGAATTTCTGTTCAACTTTAGTATTTTACTCGTTATTTTGTGTATTGGTAGTAAAAACTAAGAGATCCTATTGTATAGTTTAGTTTTAAAAGTGCTATAGGTGAATGTGTACCTACCTTTTAGTCATTCCAACAGTGTAATCCCTAATCTCGTGTTTTACGAGAATAGTAAATGCTTTTTATTTAATTAAACTTTAACAAAAATAAGTATTACTAACTGCTTAATGACCAACACCTTTTGTTCCGACAGCTAACAGAAGTGGTCTTCTTCTCTAGGCTCTAGAAGAACACCATAACCTTTTTTGTAATGGTTTTCTGTTCCAGATTTTGAAGGTTACCAGCGGATACCGTATAGTGAATTAATCAAAAACTCCCGTTATAAATGCACACGCGCAAATTGCTCTGATTTTACATAATTTAACATCACTAATTCAAATGGTTATGAGTTGGGCCTTGTCAGGGTTTACCAAGAGGTTTTCCCAAACACACCACATTCTATCAGTCTTAGCTCTTTGCATGAGTTCGAAGATTGTGGTTTGGTGTTTCTCTCGGATAAGGATGAGTGTGTCATCAGCATATCCTTGGGCGTACAGCCCTTGATTGTTCAGTGGTTTCAGCATATCATCTGCCACTAGATTCCACAGTAGATGAGAGAAAGGACTCCACCCTGTGGGCACCCCCTGTGGATATTCACGTGCACGGTTTCACTGAACATTTGTGCCCGTGTTTGCCATCCGCGTAACATGTCTTCCTATACACCAGCAGATGGTGACTTCTATTTCATGTTTACGAACGGCAGCTACCATGTATTCACTAAATCCTATAATTTATTTTTACTCAAAACTACACTGATTTATATTAAACGATTATATTTCAATTTATTTTTACACATCGTTCTCTTGATATGAAATCACTAACAAAATGTGAAGGTTCCAGAAGCTTCCACCAATTTGTTCGACTATAATAAATGCAACTTTGTGTAGAGAATTGTGTAATAAAATGAATAAAATTAATTTCTTAGGAAAACGCGACTTCCCTGTATCTACAATTAGTATCAGTTTTGAGCGGTTTACAGGCATTGCGCGATGGTATCAAAAAATGCAATTAAAAGAACACTATGTGAACATGTTTATAAGCCCCAGTCGATTATAGTTGTCGAAATACGAATGGCGAGATCAAAGAAAAGTCAATTTTGTCCTTGTTATTGAATGTGGCTGTGTATGCAAACAAATTCAAAATCACGCAAGTGGACTATGAATAATGGAAACGCCGTTAAACGTGTTAATGCAAATGTGTTTTGTTTCCACATACACACATACCATGTCGGTGACTACAATGTTGTCGGGTCTTCATTAAAAATTGGATATTTACATTAAAAAAACGGTTTTGTGCCGTACTGACAAATGTTTCAAACGAATTACATTACTCTTCTCATAAATTATTTCAAAAAAAAAATTCTCTTTGCATCCACACTTCAATTTCTACACTATTATAATGTTCTCGTAACTTTATATTTTTTATTTATTATGTAAAAAATGTACACTTCTTAATAAAAACCTAAAATTGGTAGAGTTGTAAGAAAATAAGAAGGCTCGAGAAAACTCGCTTGCATACTATTAGTATTAATATAAAGGTAAAAGAACTTGACATTTAAATGAAGATAAAATGGCAAAGTGGAAAAAAAAATACATACACATGTCCTAAGTGAAAAGGTCGAGATGATTATGATGCTGATGATGATAATGTTGATGATGGGAATTGTAAAAACTATCTCCAGTAAAGCATTGTGAGGGAGTTTTAGGATTAACCTGTAAATTATTATTAAAATTAAAATGTATTATAGTATTGGTATGTACAAGATACCTTCTAATTTTAACTGGAATGGTCTGTTGTCCATGGACTATAAAAACAAGAAACAAAGAATATAAATTTTCGCTGCTCATTGAGAATCGTACTAATTATGATTAAGTGGAAGTTATTTTTGATTAGCAAGTGCACGAAAATAATCACAAATGAAGAGCATGCTCGAATGCGGGCTCGAATCTGTTCATTTATTTACACAAATTAAAGGGCCGACCTCGCCAACGTAAGCCATTTTTAACATTAATTTGAAACGAAAATTTTGCTCAGAAAGAAATAGCTATCTTTTTGTCTGATGATTTCATTTCTAAAATAAAAGTAAGATGATACACAGAATTTGCAAGTCTTATTTATATTTACCATGGAGATTATGAGACCAGTTTATTTGAACTAGGTTTTTGATTTTAACTTTTAAATTACATTTAAATTATACATAATTGGAAATAAATCATTAATCTTCAGAGTTTGACAATAATCAATAATATTAAACTAGATAAGACCACCCAATGAACATATACTGGGCTTTCATTTGAAAACTAGAGAGGCCAAATAGCTTCCGAAGGCTATCCGAATTTTTGACACTTTAGAGTATACCACATGTATCAAAAATTCGCTAATTCTAATAGCTAATTAAATTGTGCTGACCAAATAAACTTTCTCTAAGATTCAAATCATATCCCCAAATAAATGGGGACATATAGAGACACCTTTCGGCAACGTTATTAATCTGCAGGACTTTGAAGAGCTAAGAGGTTGGCCGTCAACTTACAGCTGGTGAGTAACTTGGTTAG